TGATTAATCAAATTATTTTTGAAAGAAGTCCAAATCAAAGTATATTCTATGTTTTATTCTTTTTCTTGATCAATATAATTTAAGTGTGCCACTGAGGTTTAACTGTAGGTTCAAGTGCGCCATGAAATAAAAGAGGTCAAAAAACACTGCTATGCCGTCTAGTTTTATATATTGCACATAGGATTTTCTCCGTGTTAACTACATAAAACTTATTTTAAATATAAAAGATATGAAAAATCCTTATTTTGTAAAGTATAAATTTTCAAAATATTAAACATTAAAGATGTGCCTATTGTAGATTGAACAATTTCAAGAAATGCAGAGAATAATGTGTCATAAAATATCAGATTGATCCATATAAAATTGCTGTTTGATTGATCTATATAAAATCATTCATATGATTCAATTTGTAAAAAGCACCCAGCAGAGCTCCTGGCTAATATGCAGTACAATAAATATTTGTTGAATCTAATTGGGTAGAGCTGCACTCTCCCATGCAGTAGCCATTAGCCACATGTAGTTATTGTGCACTAGGAATTTGGCTAATATGACTGCAACATGGATTTTTAAATTTTGACAGGATATTTTCATGTATTGGGTTAAAATATATTATTAACATTATTCCCCCACTTCTTTTTACTTCTTTTAATGTGGCTACTTATGTAGCTGATGTATGTCTCTATTGGACAGCCCTTAGTACACAGGTTTGTGAAAATATGGAAAAAAGGGCCAAGAACAACAGAAGACTGGAGAGGAGGTCAAAATTTAATTTCAGGCAGATAAAATAGAGAAGCAACAAAGAAAATGACACATATGGAATCATATAACCTAGTTATAACACAAGAACATATTGGGAGAAATGATTTAGGAGTAGATGACATTTTAGAAAAAAACCTTTTGTTTTGTCCGGAGGGTGAATGAGGAATAACAAAGTGCAGGCCCTGGAAACCAGAAGTCTGCACAGAATGGTATTAAGGACCGAGGAAGGTTGAATAAAAATGAGGAAGAGGATGTTGAAATGGAAACATCTGAGAGATAGGCAGCATGTAAAATAAGCAGGATTTTTTTTAATATAGAATGAGTAGATATATGGAAAAGAGAGGATCAGAGGGGAAAAAAATCAGGAGAATCCCAAGGTTTATAGCTTTGGAGAGGAAATAAAAAGGAAAGCTAATATGGGAATAAGGGAATATAAGAAGGGAGCATAGATGAGGGAAATTTGGTGTTTACAATGCTTGTGGGATCTCCCAATACTGGTCTATTGATAAGATGTGAGAATCACTGATAGAGCATGAGCAGTTGGAGACAATGAAAATGAGAGACATTTCCAAAAGCATATGTAGACTGAAAAAAGAGAACAAAAGAAAAATCTCTGTGAAATACTAATATAAATTTATTATCTGGTATGAGTTTTAAATATGCCTAATGTAAGAGTTGGAGTGAAATGAACCTACCTAAACAAACTAATATTCCTTGAATTGAAAAAAATTGAAAACTGCTTATCACTTTAATTCTTTATGAATATTACAAACATTAATATATTTAAAAATAAAGTTCTTAGGTAGGTCTAGTATAGGTCAAACAACTTCTCAACTATAGGAAACACTTGCATAATGGCAGTATCTATTATAAAATGTATACACTTAAGTGACCCACAATAAAATTGTTTTTCTGTTTTAATTTAGGAACTTTGGAATTATAAACTAGTACAACTAGATGCCTGAACTTAAACTCAATTTAAGTACGGAATTAAAAGTAGTTTTTATGCTAAAAACATTTTTCTTTGAAATAAATTTTTCAGTAAACATTTTTGAATGAAATCATGTGTGGTGCCAATTGTCTATTTCTGGGATCTGAGATATGACATTTGTAATTTTTCTCATAATTAAGATAATTTAGTTGCAGAAACCAATGTAACCTTTTCTTAGAATACATAAGGAAAATCATTTTCTACTTAATAGCTGGCCAGTATTTCATTCCGAATTTATTAAGTGCCTTTGGGTTACAAAATTACATAGAGCAGTGGTTCTCAACCTTCCTTATGCCTCCTAATGCTGTGACCCTTTAATATAGTTCCTTATGTTATACTGACCCCCAACCATAAAATTATTTTCATTGCTACTTCATAACTGTAATTTTGCTACTGTTATGAATTGTAATGTAAATATCTGAATTGCAGGATGCATTTTCATTGTTACAAAGGGGTCATGACCCACGGGTTGAGAACTGCTGACATAGAGAGTTCCATTTTTTATTAATGAAAAAAAAAAAAATGTTCCAAGTGTCTCAAGAGTAAAAAGCAGTGCTATGAATAGTTACTAGATTTAAGAAAATAAACACTTAAATTTAGAATATATTTAAACAAAGCATTCTTATATTTGTTAACCTTAAATTAGTTAAAAACCCTTAAAACTTACATTCATGATTCCTTGGAAGCTTGAACTTTTTCAACAATATCCTAACATGCACAAGTAGAAAAAAATAAAAACATTATTTTTGACATAACCTTAAAATACATTATTTTTTTAACTTTTAGAATAGGAATAGAATTATAGGATTTTCATTGCTCAAAGTGTCATGTATAAACTTAAAATTCATCAATTTTCTGTTGCAATTGCAGTTAAACTTATGTTTTCAAATTAGCATATATGAAACAAGTATTTATGTTAATAATTTGTTGGTATGATTATAGGTAAGCAAAGCAAACTGAGTTGAGTTGGGTTTAAACTGAATAGAGAGTTTTTTTTTTTTTCATTTCTGAGGATTACTTTACAAATAGATTCTGACATTGTAGGAAAAATTTCAGATTCTATAGATATAATCTTCAGTGGAGGTAAGTCTATTTCCATCTTGAAAGATTCATAGTCAAATGTTCATTAAAAAGAAAATTTTCTGAAACCTGACCAACATAGGCTACTATGGAAAAAATGAACACTTTCAATTCCTATGTCAGAATAAAATGAAATATTGAAAACTTTATTGGTAAGCCATTGATACTGGACAATGTGGCACCAAGACCGGCCACCTGTCCCTGGATCTGTTGCTGTTGCAGTGAATGGAGGAATTCACCAGACACTAGTGGGGGAAGACACTGGTGCTATGCAGGTCAATTCCTCCAGCGCATCTCTGATTGGTCTGTTTTCAAAACCTGCTCCTGATTGGTCTATTTTCAGGCTCCGAAAGCTCATTGGATAATTGCCCCTATATAAGCCCCTAAGCAGAGAGCCCAAACTCAGACCTCCAAGAGAGAGCAGGAGAACAAGGAGGTTTGGTTCTTTGTGAGAGCTGTAACACTTGTATTATAAAACCTATCTTACTGCCATTCCTGCTCTGGAAGGAGGTTTGGCCCTTTGTGAGAGCTGTAACACTTGTTGAATAAAACCTAATAAAATCTAACCTACTGCTGATCCTGTGGTCTGTCACTTCATTCACTGAATCACTGAGACCAAGAACCTGAAAGTCTGGTATCAGATTTGGCAAGCCAGCCAGGAGAAAAGACCAAGTTCCGGGAAAGACAACATCTGTGATAAGTAATGGGACTGCTTACCTCTGTCCTATTTTTCTCTATCATGATTCTACTGGAGATTGCCCGCCAGCCTGAAAATATGCTTAGTGTAAATGCTGACTTCTGGCAAAAGGAGCAAACTTTCTGATTCTCCTTGGTTTCAGAAAGAAGGCAAAGGGAACCTGATCCTGTCTTCTGTTTATTCCTTTTCCCTGGTCAAGAGCCGAGTATGGAGGTAACACCCAGAGGCCCTGGGGTCTCCAGCAATGGTTCTGACCCCAGGACTTGGGAGGGCCTTCAAAAACTTGTGCTCTCTCAGCTTTTACTATCTTCTCTTCTCTTCGATGGTCCCAAATGTTTCCTAGTTCTCTCTATAGATCTCTGCTGCTTCTCTTTCTCTCTCTCCTTGTAGTTTACATACTTTGAATGTTGGTAAAGGATTGCTTTATGTATTTAATTGGGTTTGTTACTGGTTAATTCTGGTATTTTTCAGATGTTTTAAGTGTTTCAAATGTTATAGGTGTGTTGTAAGATCCTTTTTATTGCCTTGCATTGCAGAACTAAAATAGATTGGCTTTTTATGTGTCTGGGGAAAAAACTGACCTTGTTAGAGAAAGTCAGCCCCAAACTAGCTGCGAAATGACTCCCCTGCACCGTTTGTCTGGGCAACCAGCAACCTGTGAAGGGAAGCCCAGAATGACTCCCCAAGGTGGGAATGGCCCTGAACTTTGGCTATTCATGACCCTGGGTATTTGATTTCTTCTGGTGTGGGGAAGTTTGGGAGAATTCTAGGTTTGTCTAGGACTTGGACTACCTGCAATAATTAGTGGTAATACAAAGAGTCTCAACAGGTCTCTCGACTCAACTTTGAGTTGTACCTAATTGAGTAGTGTTGCTAACCTTTGAAAAAAAAGGGATGAAGTTAAAAGATGTAGCATTTAAGCTTGTGGGGAATTTAGAAAAAGCTCGCACGAATTCTATGTTGTTAAATGTGCAAACATTGCACAACCATTTTCTCCAGGATGGGGCTTATCCCCACTTTGATTGATACTCTGAGGCTAGTGGGGGAAGGGGCAGAAAGAAGGGGGCAGAATACATGTATCAGGTGAGACCAAGGCTCCCTGGATCTGATTTCTCAGAGCTGTGCAGCCAGCACGATATAAGCACAGGAGAACCAGTGGGCCCTAAGCACTACACTGATACGAGTGGCTAATTCCAGACAAACACAGGGGCTGAGGCCACTCTCCTCAGGGTTTCTTCCCCAAACATTGGAGGGACACTTCCTTTTGTTTGGTCAGAAGGCTTCTTGGGTTGGTCAGAGGATGCTCAAGAATGGGGGGTGGGATTGATTAAAACCATGGGCATTTGTTCTTTCCCACAGATGGGTAACATATTCTCTGGTCAAGGGAACATCCCACTGGGCTATATTCTGGAGCACTGGTCCCCAGTTTGGTCCCCAGTTGCTGAAAAGAGAATGTATGATTTTCTTCTGCACCTAGGCCTGGCCTCAGTATCGACTCTCCACTGGTGAACAATGGCCCCCAGGGGGTACTCTTAATTATAACACCATTTCCCAAATGGATGCATTTTATAAACAAGAAGAAAAGTGGTCTGAGTACCCTATGTGCAAGTGTTCTTTACCCTCAGGAACAGACCCCCACAATTGTGTAAGGCCTGTCAAGAACTCTTAAGGGAGACACCATTACCACCTAGATCAAACCCACCATCTACTTCTCCCACACCCTCCTCCATGTATTCAAAAAGCCCCAGGAGAGAAGCTGTCCCAAGAGTATTTCCTGGTCCTGCAGGGGCCCCCAGAAGGCAACCATATCCTTCTTTGTGTCCCTTAGTTGAGACTGCTAGGGGTGAAAGGGGAACTGCATGAGTATACACACTGTTTTTTTTTTTTTTTAAACAGATTTAAAGCAAATTAAAGTTGATTTAGAAAAATTTTCTGATGACACTGATAAGTACATAGATGTTCTCCAGGGGTTAGGACAAAGCTTTGACCTCACTTGGAGGGACATAATGTTATTACTAGATCAGAGACTAATGCTTAATGAAAAGAATGAAGTCCTGGATGAAGCAAGGAAGTGGGGTGATTTATGGTTCATGTCCAATACTGATGGTGGTATGTCTCCTGGGGAAAGGGACTGATACCCCACGGGAAGACAGGCAGCTCCCTTCAGGATCCTGAATGGGACCTTGAAGGGGAAGGTGACTGGTCATGTAAGCACTTCCTGACATGTATTCTAGAAGATTTGCGCCAGTCCAAGAAAAAGCCTATGAATTAGGCTAAGTTATCTGCTATTTGCCAGGAGCAAAATGAAATTCCCTCCGCCTTTCTTGAGTGGCTTAGGGAGGCAATGAGAAAACACACCCAATTGACACCCGATTCCATAGAGGACCAAATTATTTTAAAAGATAAATTTATCACTCAAGCAGCTCCAGACATTCAAAGAAAACTCCAGAAATTGGCTCTAGGCCCAGGTCATAACCTGGAGAATCTTCTTAAAATGGCCACCATGGCCTTTTATAACCTAGATCAGGAGAAAAAGGAGGAAAAAGAAAGAAAGGATCGAAAAAGAATGGCAGCTCTAGTAATGGCCTTCCGACACATGGGCACCTTTCAAGGGTGGAGGGAAGCTGGAGAGGTGAAGAACAAGTGCTTCCAATGTGGTCAGACTGGCCACATCAAAAGAAACTGCCCCCAGCAGTATCCACAGATGGGCAAGCCACCAGGCCCCTGTCCAGACTGCAAGGGTGACCACTGGAGGGTGACCTGCCCCCAGAGGTGAAGGCAGTGGTCCCATCCACATGCAAACTGGACTTAGGGTGCCTGGGGAAGATTCTTATGGCTCTGGCTTGTGTCATCACTTTTCGGGAGCCCCGGGTTTGCCTTATAGTGGAGGGCTAGGAGATAGAATTTCTCCTGGACACTGGAGCAACCTTTTCCATACTTCTCTCTAACCATGGTCTTTTATCCTCCAAACCTGTAACTATACAGGGGGTGTCTCGAAATTCAATTACCGAATTTTTCTCTCAGCCTTTGAGCTGCAATTGGATGATTGGCTGTTCTCTCATGCCTTCCAAATCATGCCTGAAAGTCCTGCTCCACTTTTGGGAAGGGACATACTAAGGCAGGAACAACCATTTATATGAATATGGGACAGGAACCTATATTATGTCTTCCCCTATTAGAGATGGAAATTAACCCAGAAGTGTGGGCTACTGAGGGACAGGTGGGAAGAA